AGAGAGTCATCAATCTCACTCCAAACTTTCCAAACTGACATACACACAAACACACAAACAAGAGAGAAACAGAGACACGCATACACACTCATCCCCCCATTCCCCACCCTTCTCATTCCTTCCTCTTTCTTTCAAATATATGAGGATGGAGAAAGAGAGAGAGAGAGAGAGAGAGAGAGAGAGAGAGAGAGAGAGAGAGAGAGAGAGAGAGAGAGAGAGAGAGAGAGCGCAGGAAAGATTTCTCCCTCTCTCTCTTTTCCGAAACATCCGAGTGCTTGCTGTAACCGGCACTCAGCCCGGCTTGGAAATTTGACCACTGGCCGCAGAGGAGTTGAAATTTACAGCTTTAACTTTTTAATTTTAGCTCCGAAGTTTTACAATTTTAGTCATTACATTCACTTAAATTCAAATCCATTTTAAAAGTTGATTTTGACCTCCAATTTCTAAAGCCCCCGGCCGAAATGGGGCTGTCCCTTTTTCGCCCTTTCCCCCCCCCTGTTTTCATGGTGACAGGAATTCTTAAAATTTCTATAACGCGCTCTTTGATGCTTGGCTACTCGACTAATGGGGCTGTGTCTGAAATTTTGCAGATTTTTTTCCGCCCCACACCCTCCACTCCCGGCAAAAACCAGAAAAATACACAGATTTTGCGGGTTTGAATGGGAGAGAGAGCGGGCGACAGAGAGCGAGAGATAGTGAGAGAGAGAGCGGGAGGGAGAGAAAGAGAGGGAGAGAGAGAGCGATGGAAAGTATAAGCATACGAATTGGCTTCTCTTTATATGTTTGTTCAGCCGATTGTAGGGCTTTCCCCCCGCTATTCAGCGCTGCCCTGAGTCAGCCTGCAAAAAATCGACATTGTGAAATTTTTGTGGGGTTGATTTGGGTGATTGCATATAGTAGCCGGGCAAATTTACATGATTTAACACTTTCTCTCGCTCTCTTTCTCTCTCTCTCTCACTCTGTCCTTTCGCTCTCTCTCTCTCTCTCTCTCTCTCTCTCTCTCTGTCTCGCTCCGTGTTTCTCTTGTTAGCCGTTGCCACCCGGCAGAATCTGGGCAGAAGCCAAGCCTAAGCCTAAGAAGCCTAAGCCTCAGCCTAAGCCTCGGTTTTGTAAATTTTCCTACAAAGTACCTACAACTGCCAGTCGTTTGATATATTTGACGACCTAGCCGCCATTCACCTCCAGCCGGGGTGACGAAGCAAAAGAAATGTTTGGGGGTTGGGGCGTCAAATTTCCCAAGAGGGTACACATAGCACAAAGTGGCAAGACTTCACGGTCTACTTATTGCATTTTGCTGTCCTTTCCCCTCGTAGCCGACCAAAATCCCGACGGCGAAAATCCTGATCTTATCTTGACGATGACTTGAATGCCACTTCGACTTCAATGGCTATTTTGGCGGTTTCCTTTTTACGTCGACTTTTTTCATACGTTGAAGTTTTAAACATTTCTGAACGATTTTTGATTGCGTTTATCGGTTCTCGCTCTCTCTCTCTCTCTCCCGTGCTCTCTCTCTCTCTCGCTCTCTCTCGGCTCTATACCATTCCGGTTCCTGAAGAGGCCAGTCAGGGTCGAGACTAGCTTCTCCCCCTCCATTATCCTCAAAAATATCGGATCTCTACTCATTCTTCGCACACTCTCTCTCTCTGCATTTCTCCCTCTCTATAGCTCTCTCCTTGTCTTTCTCGCGCTCTCTCTCTCTCTCTCTGCCTCTCTCACGATCAGCTTTTTTCTCTTATCACCCCATTCTACTTCCCAATCCATAAATTTTCAGGGCCAAGTGAAAGAAAATTGGGTGAGGCACGAAAAAGCAAGGAATTCTGGTTGCGCAATGGCTTGGGGGACTGGTTTTTCTTCACGGGAGAGCTAGCCCGAGTCTCTGTGGTTTTGTACTTTTTCTGGTCGTTAATTGCTGAAAAAGGACTTGGAAGCACAAGCTTTATGGAGTTTTCAGTAGCGCTTTTGGAAAGATTTTTGCCGCATTACTCTCGCTCTCGCTTTCTCTCTTTCTCTCTCTCTCTCGCTTTCTCTCTCTCTCTTTCTGTCTCTCTCTCTTTCTTTACAAAAATTTTAAAAATCTAAATGCCAAACCCCAACTACCCTCCAGTCATTTGAAAATTTCCGGTCTCCCCCTCCCCGGGAATTCCCCGGGATGCTTTTTGGGCGGATTGCGTAAGGTCGAGGATAGTCCCATGGATAGGAGGGCGAATTCTAATCCTCCTCCACCTCGTGCTACTCTTTTCCATCCCTCTTCCTCCTCCTCCCCTTTATTCCACTCGGATACGAGGGTGGACGGTTGGGATGATAGATCGGCGGTGCCAATCCAGATCGGCGAGTGATGGCTAAACAGGATTGCTAAACGATGGCTTCTTTTCCGAGTCGTGCTCCTCGCTTATCAATGTGGTTTTGGATGGCTGGTTATTTTTTCCTTATTTCTCTGCATCTCTTGCGTCTCTTTTCACTAGCCTCAGCCTAAGCCTAAGCCTGATCCTAAGCCTAAGCCTAAGCCTTTAAACGGCCAATTTGCATGTCGGTATTTTAGCTGCCGAATTTTTCCCTTCGAGATTTTTGTCTTTTCCCCTCAAACCTATAATTCTGTAGTTTGTATTTTCGTGCCAGAAGTACTCGGAGTTTGCCAGGACATACAGTAATCCTGGGGGTGGGATGACTAAACGTTCCCGGGAATCCATAATCCTAGAACCCCCAGCTCTCCGAGATAAATCCGAAAATCATCAATTTCCATCTGGCTACGCGGATTATCGTGGCGGGGGCTGGATTTCATTCCTGGAACGATGCCAAAAATCGGAAATATTTTGGATTATCGATTTGGTTTTGAAACTTCGCTTTCTCTTTCGCTCTTTCTCTCTCTATCCCTCTCTCCTTCTCTCTCTCTCGCTCTCCCTCGCCCCTCATAAATCTATCGTCGAGGATCCACATCATCAACACTTTTTTAGGGAAGGACCAAGCTGGCGAGGCTATGCTCGTGTCTTGGCCCATGCCTAAGCCTAAGCCTACTCCAAAGCCTAAGCCCAAGCCTATTCCGAGACCCAAGCCTACGCCTAAGCCTAAGCATAACCTTAAGCCTTCCCAGCCCTCTAACCCACGCTATCACTTCCGCCTCATCACAGCTACACCAAAGATCAACTCCCACGCCCGTTGAGCCCCCAATTTTCTCTAATTCGACCCCACTCCCGGAAACACATAACTAGCCACAAAACGCCAAAAATTCGCTGATCTTCTTCTCACATTCCCCTTCCATTTTCTCCCATCTCGATTCCCTAGCCCGGTGTCCATTTTCTCGCTATTTTCAGCTCCCCACGCAAAACATCTCGACTTTGACCTTGATCCTTGCTTTCACCCGGAAAATAGGGATTCAGAATCGATTTTCACTAGCTATTTGCAAAGCTAATGCCTATGCTAAGGTTAAGCCTAAGCCTAAGCATGACCCAAGCCTAAGTCTAAGTATAAGTCTATGCCAAACTCAACCCAAAGTCAGCTGAATACGTTGACACGGTGCTGCGTATCAATTTTCTCTCTCGCTCTCTCTCTCTCTCTCTCCCCTCAGTCTCTCTTCCTCTAAAGGGACAGTGAACCTCAAATTTTCTACTGCTTTTTCAAGGCACAGTCACAACCCCCTCACCCAAAAATACCGATAAAAACCCCAAAATACCGTCGCCATCTGGGGCGATAGCCTTTTTCTAGTGGCTAGATCCCGATTTCCCAGCCTCGGCCCCCGGCCCGACTCCTCATAAAATTGGGGGCATAAAAATGTTGTGTTCGCCTCGCCTCGCACACCGATTCGATGAATTCCGGGGTTATTATTGATTGACTTAGTTTGGAATCGAAATTTTAGGTTTTATAATTTTGCGAAATTTTATGTCTATTTTTGGCAGCATTCCAATTCTGTTTTTTTACAAGTTTATGTCTTTCGCGGGGTGATAAGGAGCAGGCGCTCAAAATTTGCGTTGGCTCTTATCAAATTGTTCCCTTTTCGGAGTGTTTAAAATAAGACGTGTACTATTTTGAAGTTATTATTGTGAACTCTTTGCCTACATTTCTCCCTCTCTCTCTCTCACTCTCTCGCTTGCCTTTTTTGATTTTGATGTGATTAGACCCGTCTATAAAAAAGATTTCAAAACCAAGAGAAAGAGAGAAAGAGAGAGAGAGAGAGAAAGAGAGAGAGAGAGAGCGAGAGGGTGCGAGCACAAGAGCCTTGAGAGAGATAGGGAAAGCCTAGAATTTCTTCAATTTTGTGGTTGAATTTTATGAGACGAAATTTTCCGGCATCTTTAAAATTAAAACCAGCCTAGATGCTCTCTCTCTCACGCACCTTCCCTCACCTCTGGCTTTTGGACTATAGCCGACCTCTTATACTCCCCTTTTCAATGTCACATATATTTGGGATCGGTGGTTGTAGTGGGTACCCTCTTCTTTTCCCTCCCATTCCCCTCCACTCCTGTTTACATAACGTGTTTTGTATGTGTGCACGCCACAGCCACACTCGCAGATTATGGCCCGGGCCCGGTGCTCGATCGAAATTTCGCCTCTTGTGCCTGCCGCGTTGGGCTTGCAAGTTTAAATGGCAATGTTCGTAGTGGGTTTCAGGGACTCACCCCCCGTCATCACTCTTTCTCTCTCTCTCTCACTCTCTCTCTCTTTCTCTCGTTAATGGACGATTAAGTCGTGTATTTTAATGTTATCGATGGGCATGTGGACCTAGCTGGCACCTCATGCTCTTTTTTGTCCCACTCTCTCGCTGTTGCTCGCAGATTCTCGTGCTCTGCAATACAAAAGCCTAAGCCTGAGGCTAAACCTACGCCCATGCTCAAACCGGAGGTTGAGCCTAATCTATTCCGTAAATCCCGCATTTTTGAAAGGTTTCGGTAGGGATGCTTTGTACTGTATCTCTCTCCCGCTTTCTCTCTCTCTCTATCTCGCTCTCTCTCTCTCTCCCGCTAAACCAATACTGTATTTACAACTTTTTTTAAACCTTTTTTTTACAGGAACGTCTCCCAAATCCTCTCGCTCACCAAGCAGCACCGGGCGGCCATGGAGGCCAACGCCAGGCCCGGCCCGATACATATCGTAAGTTGATTTTTAGCCATATCCTCCCTGCATAGTCCCTTTAATAATTTCATGCCCAATAAAATTCCAAAATTCCAACTAATTATTGCTAAACCGTATCCCTGTACCGTATCCGATCCGCCGTGGGAAGAAGCTCTCTCTCTCTCTGCCCCACTGGTCCAGTACCACGCCCCGTGATCCGCTGCTTTTCAGTTGGAGGGGAGGTGGAACTGAACTGGAATTTGTCTGGGGTCTCTAAATCTTTGTCTCTCTCTCACTCCCTCTCTCCCTCTCGATCTCTCTCTCTATCCCTCTCTATCTCCCTCTCTCTCTCTCTCGCGCTCTCTCTTTCGTTCAAACTCTCTGTCTATTTTTTCCTTTTTGGTCTTTCAGCGTTCAATTTTGTTTTCGTTCTCGCAAGGTATTTTTGAACGGTACCTTGGGTTCTTTTTTGCTAACGCGCTCACACACTCGTTCTCACTCTCATTCCCTATCAACCTCTTTTAATCGCCGACATTCTCTCGTTCTTACCTCCTCTTTCAGCTTCTTTATATTGTTTCCACGTTCGCAATCCCTTAAAAAAAACTCATAAAATTAGAAATCTTGAAAGCCTTAGGTATTGTTGCTTATAGTGTTCTCAAAGACAATTTTTGGCTTACCGGTATCTTTAAAATTGGTTAAAGTTAAGCAATAACCGCTAAGTCTATGTCTCCTAAAGCTCGAATACGATTCAACATTTTGCTATTGCTTTGCAAGCTGTTTAAGTTAAAAAATTCCATCTAAAGTATGATTGTGCGATGGTCATTGTATACCTATTGAGTCTATTAATGTCTCCACTTTAGCCCCCTCAACAGCAGCGTACCACCCCACCTCCAGTGATCAACCGGGTCGTCTACACATGCCCCGATTGCAATAAACAGGTTTGTCGATATTGGGGCAAGGAATAGCAAAAAAATGGAGAGAGCGAGAGCAAGAAAGAGAGAGGGAGAGTGAGAATGAGCGCTGGAGTGAAAAAGAGCGAGAAAAGAAACAAAAGCCCCAGGCTATCAATCGCTTTCCCCCTTGTCACCTACTTACGCTTCCTTATTATGATCTGAAGCATTAGATGTATCATAATTTTTTCATACTTACTATCATATGATTTTATCATATTTTTCAGGTCTCCTCCACCAGGAATTTGGCCCGTCATCGCCAGTCCTGTCCGGCTACTCGAAAATTTCCACTACCACAACCGTTGCAGTTGCCCCAACAGCAAGCGCACTGTTCACAGGTGAGGTTTGGAATGTTTCTGGTCTTTTCACGGTCCGTCGGATGGGTATTTTCCACTAAAATCTCGTTCTACGCCTCCGACTTAGATTCCCATTTTTCCTACACAATTTCTGTAGAATTTTTGTATTTTCGAAGTCCGCAACTTTTTGGCATTCTTGTTCGGCAGAATGAGGCAAATATTTTGGTATATTTTAAGGCCCAGCATCAGACAGGATAGGTAAAAATAGAAAAAGAGAGGTAGAGAGAGAGAGCGAGAGAGGAGAGAGATAGAGAGAAAGAGTAAAGGGAGAGGGAGTGAGAGAGAGGGGGGAATGGGAGTTCCATGGCCGGGCCTTACTCGCCCCTTTAACGTCAGATTCGATCTCCTTTTCCTGCCTTCTATTTTTTCAGGCGCATTAATGCCATTTTTAAATTCATAAAGATTATGAGGCTTCTTTCGACCCCTGACCCCTCCGACAAGCTTGACCAAAACACAAAGATAGTTTGAGAGGCGGCAAGAAAAGCATCTCCCCCTTGTCCCGAAACCCTATAAATATATCAGGTCTTCAATTATGTCTCTCTCTTTCTCTCTCTCTCGCTCTCTCTTTCACTCTATCTCTCGCTCTCTCGCTCTAGTCTCGCGGGAGAAACCGGTCTCGCCATCCAACCCGGGGCTGGCCCGGCAAAAAGTGGAGTTCGGCGGCTTCGGAGTGGAGGGGCGGAGATTCGATAGATAGATTCGATCCCCCCTGCCATCGATTTGCCACCCTATTTGATGGCAATTTTTTGAGAATATTGGTTTTGAACGGAATTTGGTGTGGTTCGGAATTTTGGGTTTTTCCTTCGTAATCTAAGCGAAAGCTCAGCTTAGCGTAAGCTAAGCCAGCCTAAGCCTAAGTCAGCCTTTTATTTAGTTTACCTATTTACAATCCATTTTAAAGGGGTCGTGACAGTCATTTTTATGCAAATTAGCCAAATTCCTTAAGGTTTCTTGAATTCATCGTTTTTTCGACTTTCAAGGGACAGAGACACCAGGATTTTCTACAAAAAACTCGACTATTTCCGTCCTGCTCATTTGTGTGCTTTTTCCAGATTTTAAAGGGACGGTGACACTAAACTTTCTCATGATTACCGATTAAAAATGCCCTTTTCATGGCTTACTGCATTTAATCAGTTTTTTCAGCCCACCACACCATCCGGGCTGATCCCCTCCTCGCCGAGTATTGCAGCGGGGGTGGTGCCGAATATGGCGGCCGTTTCATCAGTCAATCCGCAACCGGTCACGCTTTATGTGAGAAGGGTGAGTTTAAGTTTTGGGGCAAGCTTGCAGGGATTCTTAGAGGACAAAAATCCATTTATGGTTACGGATTAAATGCTGGCTAAAGTGGAGAGAGAGGGAGAAAGAGTAGGTCAGAGGGAGAGAGCGCGAGCGAGAGAGAGCGCGAGAGAGAGCGTAAGAGATTGAGATAGAGAGAGAGAAGGAGTGGGAGAGGAACAGAGCGAGAGCGGGAGAGGAAGAGAGAGAAAGAGAGAGTGAGAGAGAGGAAGCGAGAGACAGGAACTAACAGATAATGCGTCTACTTTTCAGCTTTTCTACAGTACCCTTTTCAGGAAGAGCCCGGCTACCCGGAGTGGTGCTCCCCCCGATCATCATCCGTCTCGACAGCCTCCTCAATCAGGGATACGGTTTCCCATCCACCGTCTAGGGATGAGGGCAGCGTGGTGAGACCCCACATCCTGAATTAATTAAGAAAATTTCCAGACTGTGGTCCACACACCAAGCCATGAATTATCCTTTGCGGATCATCTTGAGCCTCACATGGGCCATCACCACGACATGGGATACTCGTAGGTGTTTAATAAGAATTTGATAGGGTTTAGGCGCTAGCGAGAAGCTCCAGTTAATTTGTAGGTCTCAACTAATTGAACCGATTTAGGCGAAGTTACCAAATTGCACTCTAGTGGTTTAGTTCCAGAGGTTAAGTGTTATTTTAGATATCACTCAAATGGGCTCTTGGACGATAGCCAAGGATTCCCAATGTCAATGGATGATGAAAGGCCACCTTCCGATGAGGTACCAAAATTTTATCAAATTTATTACACACGTTTAGATGGGCTCTGGAGATAGTGGAAGCGCAAGTCGATGCAGTGATACGAATGGCTCCATTGGACAGTTTCAGTCAGTTTTTTAAATTAAATTTATATAACAAGATATAACGTTTTTACTAATCTAAAAAAAAAACAGTAAGAACGTCAAATTCACTCGAAATTAATTAAAATAAAAAAAATTTCAGGTGCGAGGCATGCCAAAAAAGCGTGGCCTCCCTGCGATCACTAAAACGGCATCACACCACCTGCAAGCCGTTCGCCCAGCAATTTCCCCATGTTCTCGAGCAAGAAAAGTGGGTTCATGATTTTAATATATTGTTTTTATTTAAAAAATCTAAATATTTTGCATGCGGCACTGAATATTGTAAGGCTGTTGTATTGTGGAAAAATGGGTTTCCGGCGGTTGGTTGTGAAATGGAAAATAAATCTGAGAAATTTGGTTCAATTGATCCTAAATAAATTCAATTTTAACTGATTTAAAAACAAATTATTGGCGCAAATTAGGTCAATTGAATTAATGCCACGCTTTAAGCGCCACGAATTTAAAGAAATATATGCAAAATAGGTAACGAAAAATTTTTACGTTACCAAAAATATATAGTAAATTGACTACTGAAATAAAATCACTGAGAAATTTCTTATGCAAATTTATGTTAATTAGGTGAGAAAATAAGGTAGGAGGGTCCGTATTTTTAAACTTGTATTTATATTTAGATGGTATTTTTCTCGAATCTACTTTCGGGTGTTCGAAATTACCTAAAACCCAAAAGACGGCAATTAGCATATGGTATATAAAAATTAACCTAATTAACAAAATCTGCTGCTTTATAAGGTTTTAGGGTTTAGGTATTTATTAAAATGTGGTCTTGATATCCCATAATTACCCTAATCCCGGAATACCGCAATTAGCATATGGCGCCGCAGGGAATTTTCATAATTAGTGGCTGGCACGAAGGGCTGGAGGGCAATCTGACGCTGCCAAGTGTAATGGCAGTCAGCCAACATGGGCTACGCGGCAACACTTTGCCCTGTGAAAAATGACTCATCTCTCTTCCCCTTCTCCCCGGATTGCATATTGCATACGAAAGAGTATGCTAATTTCGGGCCCAAATTCTTGAAAATTATACGATTTCACAATTTTCGTGAATAGCACGGCCTGATTGAGAAAATTCGTAAATTCATGCTAAGTTTTGTGTTAAAAAAGATAAAATTTTCGATTCGGAAAACAGCTTTTTCTCGTGATTTACGCACATTTTTGCCAAAAGCTCCTAGAGATCGAATTTGAAAAATCGAGTCTTATGTAGCATAATATTAATTTTCTGGGCATCGTAATTAGCGATATACCAAAATTAGCATTTCCATGAGCAAAGTTTGACATTTTTTGATCTAAAAAATTGCTTTTTTGTCGTAAAAATCGTTAAAAATAGCCGAGAAAAATCCTATATATTATGCCCTTCAATAAGCCAATCTTTTTTGGCAATTTCCCGTCCTGTTGCCCCGTCATTAGGTAGTGTGGCGTTGCCATGGCATCCCCACACAATTTCTTTTCCGCCCGGCCGCTCATCGGCAAACAATCACGCGCGCGGAGTCGCTTTTTAGTCGTATTTAAGGGGCGGGGATCAATTATACTAAACCATTCACTACATTTCCATGCAGTTTTTCTTTTTCTTGGGTTAAAGGGATTAGCAAGTCGAAAATTTGCCCGGAAATTGGTTGAACTCGTTGAACTTGTTGCGGGCTATTAATGCGCTGTTTTCCTTCTTTTATTTATCACCTTTCTTGCTTCATTTAGGTATCGAAATCCACGCTTAAAGCCTAATTTATACCCCCGGAAATGCCTTTAATAAAGCATATATTTTCGTTTGCCCATTGGTGCCTGAATGAGATCGTTTATGCAAATTACCTTGCAACGAAAATAGCGCTAAAATTGGGTTGACAAACCTTTCAAAAAGTCGCCTATTAATGCTCAAGATTTCCATAATCCAAACTTTGATAAAAATCATTAAAGCATGGAAAATACCAATATCGTAAAAAAAGCAATTTTTAGGCGATTTTCCCCTGGAAAAAACAAGCTACCTGTTTGAGACGTCATTGCCTATTTTGTTTATTTTTAAAACTCTCTAACTGCATATATTTACACATTAATATGTAGTCTACTTGCAATATCGAAAAATCTAGTTGAATTTATTCAAACCGTCTAAAAAAATCACAACCAACCACCCCTCGAATTCCCCCCTCTCCTCATTTCGTGTAGTTCGTAGCCTGGTGTAGTCTCGTCAATTTCCAGGGCCGAGGCCGAGGTGCGCCGCAAAAAGTACGAGGAGCAGCGGCTGAACGCCATCGAGTCGGGCCGCAAGCGGATCCGGAAAAAGCCCGCCGAGTCGTACATGGAACATCCGGGGCCGGCGTTTCCGTTTTCGGATGAGGAATCCCCACAATATCCACCTCCCCAACCGGCTCCGGAATTTTATAATGTGCCTCCAGGGTACCGTAACCCAGCTGCGGGCTACCAGCCCCAGCTTGATCATCTACAGGGAGCGGGTGTTGACTATTGGTCCCCGTACGAAAATCGCCCGGTTTATCAAAACCTCCAGCCCCGCCCACCTATCCCCTATCAACAATTCCCGTATGCAAATCAGCAGCCCCAGCCGAATAATATGCAAATTAGCTCCCCGAACGGGTACCACCAGATGAGGCCTCAACTTCAGCAAGTCGAGCCGAGAAACGGCTTCCTCAGCCCGATTGCCGTTCCGCCTACAATGCATGCTAATGGGCACCCAATGCAAATGACGCATCCCGGATTTGTGATGCAGCAGCAGATGGGGCAACAGATGCAAACTGTTCAGGGGCCAAATCAAATGCAAAATCCTCAGCAAATTCAACCTGTTCAAGCTCATCAGCAACTGCAAAACCATCAACAACACCAAGTAGTTCAGACGCAGCACCAAATGAAAGGCCCCACTCAAGTTCAAGCAGCTCAGGCTCAACACCAAATGCCGGGCCCAACACAAGCTCAAGCGGTTCAGGCTCAAAGCCAAATTCAAGGGCACCAACAATTCCAGGCGGCCCAGGCGCAAGACCATATACAGAACTCACAGCAGACCCAAGCTGTTCAAGCGCAGCAACAAGCTCAAGCCCTCCAGCTACGGCATCCGATACATGGCCAAACTCAAGCCGCGCTTCAAGGCCAAACCGCTCAAGCCCCGGCTCCGGCTCAGCATCTGGAGACCGTTCAAGCCGCGCAGGCACAGCAGCAAGTTCAAGCCGCCCAACCCCAAGTCCAAGTTCAGCCACCTCAACCGCAGAATCCCGGTTCCGCTTCCGAAAGCCCGGTTCCGGATGCGGAAGCCGATCGGACGGCCAGCCCGGACAGCTCCTCCAGGTTTGGCTTGTCGTCAATATGTAGTACGTGCATCGTATGGTGTCGTAATTTGGTGCATCGTGGAATGGCTGGCTTTTGCTTGAGATCGGCTTGAATTTTGTTCCCATTTTTAAAATTTTTTGAAGAAACCTTGTTGAATTTCTCTAGTTCAAAAAAAAGGAAAAAACCCCGAAAATCGTTAATAGTATCGTAACAGATTTTTACACAGCCTGTTCAGCTCCGGCTCGAACTTGGCGAACACGACGTGCCCGGATTGCAGTCGGCAGCTATGCTCGACGAGTAATTTGAAGCGCCATCGAGCAACTTGTAAAGCTGGCGGAAATTCGTGAGTCTTAGAGCTATAAATTCGACAAAAGCATGAAAAATTACTACGAATTCCTTGATATTTTTAAAGAATCTCTGCTAGCTTGCCTTGATAATTACGCACGGAAAAATTGAATATTTGTTCAGCACCGATGACATGACGCCGACGAGTGAGGCCGGCTCGCCAGCCAAGCCGAACTTCTTGGAGTGCCCGGATCGCCGATTTGTGGTTGTTCAAGGCGGCGCGAATCCAGAGCTGGAAGGGAAATTTGTGAGTTTAATCTTAAGCCTCAGCCTAAGCCTAAGCCTAAGCCAAGCATTAGGATAAGCTTAAGCCGAAGCTAAGCCGAAGCCTAAGCCTAAGCATTATTTAGACGCATCCTACCGATTTAAGCCATGTTTTCAGATCCAAGTCACCGTCGGGGATCACCTCAAGGCACAACAGCAAGCAGGGCAACAATTGGTAGGGTTTTTCAAGGTTCACTTTTTGAAGAATTTTTCTTTTTCTAGTATTAACAGATTCTTAAGTTAATCCAGTATTCTACAGTTTTTAAAAAATGAATAATATCGTCAAACGTAGTTTTTCAGCAGCGTTTCGAGCCGGGGATCCAGATCGTTCAGCAGGGGATGCAGCTGGGGGCCCAGCCACTCCAACAGACACCTCCCAACGGTCACCACCTGCCTAACGTCATCCCAGCCCATATCCAGCAGAACATGCAACGGAATCTGAGCGAGGTAATTGGGATTTTTGCCTGTATACCGTATTCCTCGTATAGGGTGACCTCCCTCCCCGTTCCGCCCCACCCCACATGACGAACGGCCCGCAGTTCCCCGCCCCGATCCAGCGCTCACATTCCACCAACAACTACCAGCACTACGTGCAGCCATATGTCAATGGTTTGTGCAACCTCAGCACTACGTTTACAACCTTGTCCAGGCCCTTCCGCCGGCCACCTGGCGATGAACGGGCACGACGTGCTGGACGTGGGCGGCGGCAAGCTCGAGGAGGAGATGTCCGATGGTCCCCATGGGCCCGACTTTGAGGTGGACGAGCACTACGGGTGCGCATTCCGGTATTTTGGTGGTGGACACACACCCCGTTACTTACAAACACCTTTAAACCCTCCATTTCCCCGATTTTTTGCGAAGAATTTTTTACGATTCTGGTGATTTTGGGTGGTTTGAGCTTAAGCCCAAGCCTATGCCAAAGCCCAAGGCTAAGCCCAAGGCTAAGCATAAGCCTAAGCCCAAGCCTAAGCCTTAACCTACGCCTAAGCCTAAGCTTAAGCCAAGCCCAAGCCTACCCAACCCAAGATCGCCCAAATTTGGATTTGAAAACTAACTGAATGCTGATGGCACTTTCACTCAAATAATCCTACTTTTCTTGGATTTGGGAAGTAATTTTTGGTCACCGTAACCTCACCTTTACGATTTTTATAGCTATGGTTTCAATTCGGCTACGGACGTCAGTGATCTCGACGACGATCTCAAGGAGAAACGGGAGGGGTTGGTGTTTTTCTCGCTCACTCTCTCTTTCTCTCCCTCACTCTCTCTGTCTTGCTCTCTCTCTCTCTCTCTCTCGATCGTTAGCGTGCGTACATTAGTTTAGCGTAACCTAATGATTTTCTAGGGAATTTGACCCAACCGTCAACCTTATCAACGGCCACACCTTCGTCCCCAATCTCCATCATACAACCCCTGTACAATCTGCCAACAACAATACTACCCTCAGCCAGCAACAAAATAGTGCACTCCGGGCAGCGCTTGATACGTGAGTGAAGGGAGAGAGAGAGGGAGGCAGAGAGAGCAAGAGAGAGAAAGGAGAGAGCGTAAGAGAGAGCGAGAGAGAGCGAGATAGAGGGAAATAGCGAAGTTATGTTACTACCCAATTTCAGATCCTCTCCTCCACCTCGCCATACCGTTTCCTCACACCCGCTTCCGGCCACCAGCTTCCCTACCACTAGAACGTCTATGCAACCCCTCAACAGCATCATTACTACCCAACCGTTGCCCAGGTAATATTAAGTCGATTATCTTGAGGCCTAGGCTTAGAATAGCTTGGCTTGGCTTCGGCTTGGCTTAGCTTAGTCTTGGCTTAAGCTTGAGCCTTGCCCTGTGATTTATTACCGTCTATATCTCCATTTTTAGCGATCGCATCGTCTTCTCCTCACCCCAGTCGGCTAGAAGCGAAAACACCTACTACGTCTCGCACATCGACGCCCCGGAAAGACATCAGCAAACGGTAAGTAACTTCCTGATCTCTGTCGCTCTCTCTCTCTTTCTCTCTCTCTTTCTCTCTCTCCCACTCTCCTCAAAACCGTCGTTTTTTAGTCCTACTCCATCCACCAGCCCACCCAGCAGTCCTCCCAGCAACATCACCAGCAAGCTCAATTCTCCCCTCAATTCTCGCCCAACCTTCAACATCAGTTGTCTCCTGGTGGTAATAGGTAGGCTTAGTACCTTAGTAAACTCTATACGACATCAAAGCTACAAACTACAGCCTACAAATTTCTCTTTCTTTCAGGGAACTCCAAGCCGTCGCGGCAACCGCAGGCCGAGAGGTTGACCTAAGGTTCCAATGTCCAGAATGCTTGAAAACGTGAGTTAGGGCGGAAAGAGCGAAAGAGAAAGAGAGATAGAGAGAGAGAGAGTGAGTGAGAGATAAAGAGTGAGAGATAGAAAGAGTGAGAGAGAGACTGAAAGGACCCAAAACAACTCGACTACGTTTAGCTACTCCTGCCGGAAAAACGTAAAACGACATCGAATGGCCGTGCACAAACTGACGCCTGAAGAGATTTCACGCACGATGGGCAGCGGAAGCGCGACGACAGATTTTTCGGCTTCAAGCACGCCAAGTTTGGTAAGCACAGTGTCCTTGCTTACGCTAAACGAAGCGTCTGGACACGCAACGCATACGCAATTCCCTGTGGATAAAACGGATTTTACGGCGTTTTTAAATGGACCGCGACACATCCAAATTTCATTCTCACAACCTCGTTCCCTGCAAAAACAACTTTCCAGCAATCCCCCTCCGGCATGCTGCTCACCACGTCTTCCATGATGAACTCCCCAATCCCGTCAAACTCCCAGAAGCCGTGGGGCGCACAGCTGTCTCCGCAAATTGTAAGATTTCGAGGTGCATCTAAAGACGTTCTGCTTAGAAACGCTTCCAAGAACCCCGGATCATGACCGAGTTTGCCGAGGCCGACACGACTTTCAGCGAGGATGCCGAGGACCCGAAGGACGAGGTATTATCAACCTTCGATAGCAGTTTAAATTGTAATGTTAGTTCTCAAAATCCCGACAGACAACATTTTGCAAAACTAGAGTGCCGACAGAGTCGAAATCCCGACAAGAAAAAGGCTAAATTTTCGGGGAAAGCCCATTAGTTCGATCTAAAGCGTAAATAAGTGCGGCCATTTTGCTGTCGGTATTTTGGCATTAAGGATTTTGGTTGTCGGCATTTTAGCTGCCGACCTTCAGTTGTCGGTATTTTGAAAGTCGCGACTCCAACTTCCCTCTCAATCTGAATTTTTTCAGCACGCCGGTCTGCTGGACATGGGGATGAGGCGGGTCGATCGACGAGGTTCACAGGGTGAGTCGACTGGTTGTTAAAGGACTGGACCAGCCAAGTATTTAAAAGCGATAGAGAGAGAGAAAGAGAGAGAGAGAAAGACACAGAGAGAGAGAGAGAGAGAGAGAGCAGAGATAGAAAGAGCAAAGGTGCGTTACTGATGTTTTTTCAGTCTCCCCCGGCTTCCCAAAGACCATGGGCCAGCGGGTGGAGCCGAAGAAGACAACGCACCAATGCATCCACTGTCAAAAGGTGTTGTCGTCCGACTACTCCTTGAGACGACACCGCCATACCTGTACCAAGATCCTGGAGGCACAGCGGTCGATCTCGGTCGAGAGTGAGGACCCGATGATTGGGCAGGGACCAAGGCTTGGGACTGATGCTTCGAGGGTGAGCTTTAGATCCTTAGAAATGGTGGCGGTCGGTTTTGTTGCGGTGGCGGCGGACTTGGTGGTCAGACCTGTCCGTGCACCTTTAGAGAAATGCGACCAAAAAACACCCTAGATCACCTCTATTTCAGCACTACTTCAAGCCCATCCGACGGCCACAAAGCACCGACGGAGGCTTGATCCTCGATGAGGAGACGATTCCGGATAGCACCACCCAACGGTAGGTGTAAAGTGGAGCGTAGCGTACATTAACTAGAGCTAAACATCTCGATATTGTTGCATTTGCTTTCGCCCTCCCTTTAAAACCCCCAACCTTTACAGCTCCTCGGGCTTCGATTCGATGGTCCACTCCCCAAGCAACATGTCGTCCCCATCGGAGAGTGGTGAGCACCACCACCACCTGCATCACCATCATCAGCCCCATCATCTCTTAGGCGTAAGTCCTGTTCAGCATACGGTAGATGACCAATTTTTAGCCTCGAAAACGTCGTCATTCCGCGTCGGAACTCTCGGCCCCGGTGACCCGACATTTGTGCCAGGTTTGTGGGATTTTTGATTTTGTGGAATCGTTTTTGCTTTCCGGTAAATGCTGTGGATGTGAGGCCTAAGCCTAAGCTCAAACATAAGCCTAACAAGGAGTGTCCTTTTGGTGTCATCGGCAAAACGATTCGAGACCCAGCTCATTCGATAGAGAATTGGATTCTGAACGAGACTGTGTTGTTCATTTTTGCGGAATGGCTGTCCCTGATTTTATAGAATTAAAAAAACCAAGCGCGAAACCTTAACAACTAGCTCCCCATGCACAAATGTATGGGCGTCGCCGGCAGTTTTTTAATTCTATAAAATCAGGGACAGCCATTCCGCAAAATGCAAGTCTTGTTCAGAATTCATTTTTATCGAATGAGCTGGGTTGATCGTTTGCCGATGACAAAAGGACTGCCTAAGCTTAAACCCAAGCATCCACAACATTTTCCGGTAGTTCCGCGTAGTGGTGCGTAGTTAGCTGTGCGTAGTCGTGGCGTTTTTTGCATTGGGCATGGTTGCCTCGTGGAAATGGTTTATTTTTATCATAGATATCAACGCACATTTAGTTGTATTTCTCTCTCTTTCTCTCTCGCGGTCCGCCGTTGTGGTTCGTAGTAGTGTAGTCCTTTCAGGATCCGGAAAACCTTCTTCAAGTTGTCGTGCCGCCCGGTGTAGAAGCGACCACAAACTACAATCTGCCACCGTCGCACCTGGTCGATCTGGATCAGCCTTTATTTTAGTCCCGCCCCTAGCCACGCCCCCCTATTTTGCATGTGCCGTGTTGTGGTATGTTGCGTAGCTACGGCTTCTTAAAAAGTATTCGCGCTAGCTTCTAGCCATGGTAGAGACGTTTAAAAGGGACTGCCAAGCGAGGAAAGCTCAAAATTTCGATGAAACGTTGTGGTTTTTGCCTTTAAGGTTCCTTTAAAGCCTCGTGGGGTTGTTTTATAGGGCGTGAAGCTTCAGAAAATGCTAAGGATTTGCCTTCGTAGTCCCTTTAAAGCCGCTCGCACCCAATTTTCGTCATTACTATTTGTAGCCCTAGCCCCCGAAAAATCGATACTCATTTCCGCACGAATACCCTGCCAGAATTCTTATTATTTCTTATAATTTTAACTAAGCCTAAGCCTAAGCCTAAGCCTACGACTAAGCTTAAGCCTTAGCCCAAGCCCCAGCCTAGGCTTCATCTACTCCGGTGTACCTCTCCCCATCCAATCTGTGATTCGAACCCCCCACAAAATCATCGAAATACCCTAATTAACTATTACATAATTTTTCGCACATAATTCCGTGTTTTCCTCTTTTCATCGGGTACCTCGCACAATCTTTCAAAAGAATATATTAAACTATTTAGCACTGCCATTATATAGAAAACCACCCGATACGATCTCCCTTTTTCCTCCTTCGCCCCGCCCTTTTTTGACTACCTTATGCACAGATTTATATTTTAATAAATTTCTATGCTTTTCTATCGCGCGTAACGTGTTGTATCGTGTATTGTTGTGTCGTGCAATTGTGGAATAAATTTTTAAAATGAATTATTTGCATTTTGTGGTGGTCGTTGTGGTGAGCGCAGTGATGTTGGTGATGGTTGAGTTTTTTGGGGCTGGCTATTGGATACGATTTAAATAGCGTAATGCATTGACGAACTTAGAGTAGGTTTTTTCATTAATGTGCCGCTAAATGACTAATTCGTTTAATTAATTTTACTAAGGTTTTATCATACCTAAAAAATTCAATTTTATTGGGTTTTGGTGAGTATTTTGATCCAACCATTTTTGTGAATTTTTAGGAAATATCCGGCTTATTAAGCGCTACAAACTACGATTGTCAATGTAGTTCGCGCCAGCAAAAGTTCGCTTTAAGCTCATTTTTATCAAAATTCAAAAAAAAGAAGTCGCAACTTGGATTGGGCGCGGAAGCAGACTTTTGTAGCTTGTATTTTATAGCCTATAGTTCAGCGTTTTAGAATATTTTGTATCGTTTTATCATTGTGTTAGGATTTACGTTCAGTGGTAGATTAGAAGGCACTATTGTTGTAGTCCTGTTGGTAATACCATTTTATCTTCACATATTTGGGGAACGGAGTATTGGGAGAACGGGAGTTCGGGCGGTGAGAGGGAACTCGACTCAATCAAAGTGGGGAAGCGGCTCGGTGAGCCGGGTCTCCGTGGCAACATGTGTCAGTCTTTTTTGGGGAATTTCTCCGTTCGCGTTGGACCTAAGCCTCCCTTTCGCTAGGCTAAAAGAGATAGAGAAATAGGATGCGAAAAGGGAGCTAGGGTCGCGACACTCCCGGGGGGGACAGCGGATGTGATACGGTAGAAAAGGCAAATTGCTAAAGGATGGATGAGAAGTTTCTGACGGAGCATAATGACATACAAAACCGGGCCTGCATCGTAAATACAATCTTAATGCATTTTGTATTTTCATATCTTTTGATCATCCGCAATGTACCCGTCTTTCTTCAAACGTATTAACATGACTGGCGCGGCATTGGCGGGATAACTTCGAAAGTGCAGGCGGTCGGCTTCCTTGCTCAGATCGTGTCGAGCAGTCATATCATTGGACTGCTCACCCTCCCCGGCTTAGCGTTGAGTCTGGGGTGAGGGTATTCCTCTTCGAAACGCTTCTGAGATCTTTTGACTTGATGCATCATGGCTTTCTGACTAAGGCTTCTGATCGTATCTGATAGGTGTCCCGTCTCGCACGGTGCATAAAGGTTTGGCGAGTTTTGGTGTTTTTCAGTAGTTGATTTCTTGTGACGGCATACTGTGAACTTGCAACTGATTGAAGGGCAGTTCGCTGTACAATCCAGTTAGCTTCCGTCTATTGACATCTCAATGTGTAATTTGGAGAATATTCAGCCCGTGGTTTTCTCCAGCCATGTGCATCACTGCTGTTTTGCTTCCGGTGATTTTTCAACTGGAATCTTCTACGCGTCACATCATGCTTCGTTCTCATCTGCTTCTTCATTATCTGCTTCGACGATCTTCTTCTTCTTTGGCAACTGCTTCGTTGGAGATTCGAATTTTTCATACTCTCCTTTTGGGGACCACTAATATATTTCTTTTCTAGCTTTGCCTCAGCTTTTTTTTTGTGGGGTTCATCCCTCTTTTCCTCCTTATTTTCTTCGTGCCACTCATTTTTATGGAGGTTGAGGCTAGTCCCTTCTTTTGATCTTTTCTTTCGCACTTTTCACCATAAAACATCCCTTACATTTTTCTTTTCCTTAGATCTTTTACGGATTTTTATTTTTCCGTCTTACGGATGCTATCTTTTATCCGCGTGGGTTGTTCTTTTCCCTAACCATCGTCTCATTCTTTTGACTAGGTACCGTACTCCCTAGAATTTCTTTTTTCCGTTTGTTCATAGTCAATCACAATACAGAATACAAGAAAAGAGATTGATCAATATCATTTATTCCAGACAAGAATTCTGAATGAAGTCAATATTTTGCCTTTAAGTGACAAGATTGATATGTATTGTTTTTCATCAGGCAAAATATTAATTTCAATGGTTTGGTAAAGGTCCTCTTCACATTGGACATAGTCTTCATTCGCAACGATTTTCGAAGAACATCTGTCGCGATGGCTGGCGGACCTCATCATTTTTGTCGTTTACTGGCTTACCTGACTTCACCGTTGAGGTTGTTTGGAGACGCAGTTGCCTAAGTAGCTTTAATCATGGATTCTATCTTGTTCATGCCATCCCCTTTCCATCAGGCTTTTGCTTGTTGGACTTCAATCGGTTTGCTTGAACTTGGTATCGGTGGTGTGCCTTATCCTTGCTCGAGTGTCGCCTCTGATCGTTGCGTTAACATTGTCTTGGTTGGTGTTGACTTCGCACTCATGCCTGGGCTCCGCTTCGGTCCATATCCTGGATCGTCCACGCGTGGCGGATTGCCATTGCTTGTTACTTGCCATCGATTGGTCATCCTGCGCTCTGCAATACTTACCTTCTTTTTAGCGATGCTTCTGCTCTGTCGTGTCGTCGATACTGTAGACTTACCATTAATATCAGCTGCACTTCCTATGTATTCTTGCCGGTGGCTTGGCCTCGAGGTAGCTAGGAGTGTACTTCGAGGGTTCCTATCCATCTGGAGCGGTTTCTCTTTGTTCTCGCGAACTTTTGCTTAGCTTGAGATGCTTGCACGCCGAATATATCACTTCGAGGCTGGATTTCTTCGCAAGCTTTCTTCTCGTTCGCTTTTACCTTTTTTGCGATTTCGCATTGCCCAAGCAGTATCTACTGCTCATTTCATTCCAATACTCCCTGTTCCGATTTTTTTTTTGAATCAGCCATCTCGGGACGTTCTGTAGCTTCTGCTTCGTAGATTTCGTCGCCTTAGTCTTTGATGAGCTGATTATGTGAGCGCGGACTTCTGATTGGCTCGTGTTAGTAAGCACTAAGAATACAGACGCCAGAAACTGCAAAAAATTATATCCCGACCTTTCTACCGTATCCAATGGTCCGCCGGCATCTGCACAGATTGCATGAAAATTGCAGAAATCTGCTCTAAAATCGTTTGTAGTTTGTCGCTTGTAGTAACAGAGCGAATAGCACGAATTTTGCACGGCCCCAGAACAAAAATTAAAGGTTATCGTAATCAACATATCGTTTTTCAGCACTGTGACAAGACATACTCGTCGGAGTGGAATCTGGAGCGGCATAAGCGGGAGAGCTGCCCACATAAGGCGTTCCATGGATCGGACTCGGATAAGGAGTACGTTCTATCTCTCACTCTCTCTCTCTCTCCCTCTCTCTCTCTCTCCCTCCCACTAATTAACACTTTCCAGCTCTATCGACCTCAACACCGAGGATACCGTAATTATCGTCGGCCAAGTCAAGTTTGCCGTCTCGAGAACGGTATGAATTTTTTTAGTTTGTAATTTTATTTTCCAAACTTTAGGCCCTCTCCCGCTCGTCACCCTACTTCGCCTCCCTCTTCCAGCTCCACGAGATGAATGACGTAAGCGAATACTGTAACTCTAAGTACCCCCAGATTCAGACCGACGTTCACGTCGACGTTGACCCCAACGAGTTCCAACTCCTCTTGGATGCCCATAACAATCCGGGATTTTTGAATGGTAGTTTTAATAAGTTTTCCAAGCTTAATTCAGTTACTAAGCATCGAAAATAGTTTTAAATAATTTTAGTAACTTTCATTTTTAAAAAACTTTTTAGCCTCCAACATCGACTCGGTGGCGCTGATGGCGGAGAAGCTAAAATTCATGACGGTTTTTGAGACGTGCGAGAAGTATATAGCTGAAAAGGTGAGAGAGGGAGAGAGAGAGAGAGGGCAGGAGAGAGAGCGAGAGAGGGGGGGGGGGAGAGAAAGAGGGAGAAAAAAAGAGAGGAGGAGGAGAAGAAAAAAAAGGAGGGAAACAAATAGGCACCCAATTACACTATTATTTTTAGCTGCCCCACCACTCCGTAATGCACGCCATCCGGCTGGCCGAGCAGCTGAAGATGAACACGATCAAGCAGAAGCTGTTCGAATCGATTTCGATTGACGTTTTTCGGTGAGTACTTTGAGAGGTTTGAAGCTTAGGCTTAGGCTTAGGCATAGGCATAGGTTTAGGCTTAGGCTTCGGCTTCGGATCCAAAGCAGTTCCAACATCAAAACAAAATTCCAGCTCCCTCTCCGCCGACCAGGACTACCGCCTAATGGGCGCCGACCTGAAGGCCGAACTCCTCGAGAAGTGGGGCACCTTCCTGTAGATGAAAACCCAGACCCACACCGCTAGATGCAGCCCTAAATTTTGTATAAGATACACCCGATGTTCTTCTCTCCTTGTTGTGATCTCACCCCTCCGCTAGTCCATTTCCACCCACTTATTGCCCGCGCTAGTGATTTTTATATGCTGACCCGGATACCGTACCCACCGCTCATTCCACATTCCAGTCCAGATTTTCATGTTTTTCCGCCATTTCACGTCGCACAGACAATCCCGAGTGACTTTTTTGCTGGCAATTTTTAGGGGTTTGCTGGGAGCTGGGAGTTGGGAGCTAATTTGAAACGTTTCATGCGTTACATTGCGTGCACGTTTATCGCAACGTCTAACACTCTGATTACTAGTTTTGGTGCAGCTCCCAGCTCCCAGCTAAACCTCTTGAAATTGCCCTTTCTCCTCCCAGTGCTATTATTTGATTGATTTTTAGGGTCTGGCTTGAATTATTCAAAGTTTTCATTGAATTATTTAACTCAATTTAGGCTAGGGATTAACTAATTCCGTGATATCACGCGGAAAATATTATCTTATCACTTTGATTTCCTGACGATGATCTGAACTGCCCAAGGGCGCATTAATGAAATGACAGATACTAGGGTCTTTCCAAAGTTTGTTTATAAATAACAACTATATATAGATAATTAAACTAATTAAACTTTATTAACTTTTGACGTTACTAAAAAAAGCGAATAGACCAAGCCCGACCCTAAAAACCGATTTCTCGTCGTCGCGCAGATGCTAGTCCTTTAATAGTCGTTATTTTCTTCGAATTCCCCGGTTTCCGGTCTCTATTTTACTATTTCGCGCCCCTGCCGGTCCATGGGTTACCGTACCCCCACGTGCGCTCGGTCACGAAATACCTGGCGTAACCCATTTCCCCCAAGGATCTCCGCACAAGAAAAAAATCTCCCCCTATGAATCTCAATCCCCGTTTCACTATACCTTGACAAACACATGGCTTTCGCATATCAGACTTGATAAAGTTCTATATTATATTATTCTTTTCGTGTACTTTATATTATTATATTTTTATTCGTTCCCTGGTGGTTTAGTCGGCAGAGTAGATGGTTTTGTTTTGGAATAAACTGTCCTTTCAAACGAATTTTATGCACAGTAATGGTAAAATACCCGCCAAAGGCTACGTTTCTTCATATTTCCTATATTTCTGAATGGATTTGCAAAATAAGGCTTATCCTACTAGTTTTGTTTAATTCCAGATCGAAATTCATTATTACATATTTATGCTTATTTTTAGCCATACAAAGTCATCCAGGCTTCAAATTACAACTACGCTTAACGAATGGCAATTCTCGCATGGGAAAATGGTAAATATTAATTTAGGAAAGCTATAAAAACCTTATTTTGTTATAGACGCCCAAATATGCACCGTTTTGGTATCGATCGTGGCGCTCCTATCGATTTTTACGTTCTTTCTGACGAGATGGGTCTATAGGATTGCGAAGGAGCGGTCAGTTTTAAACGTTTTTTTTTGTGCATACTTGGTGGAAGTTTGGAGCTATTATTTAAAGTATGATTTAGATACTTTATCGACTTCGAACAAGAGGCAATACTCAATCACGACGGACACGACGGTTGCTGCCATCACAAAAGACATTAACTAATCGTTTTTTTTCTTGATTTTTTCAATTCGTTCCTTACGGGCTGTCAACTGCACTTGCCTTTCATTCAAAAAACGGTTATAAAACTTATATGTGTTTTATTTTGAGCAATAAAAGTGTTTAATACGATCGTTAAACCGGATGCAATTCCATACTGACAGAACGAAATGGTTGTTTCACACGAAAAGTTACGGGAAGCCTAAAAACTGAAAACCGTAAAAAAACCTCCAGATTTCTTGGGTTTTAAAATTAAATATTTTACCTTGAAAGCGTTCGAATTTCTTGCGGAACGGTTTTCAGTAATTTTTCCGGTGTTTGCTAAAAAACGCTGAGGGAACGCGATGTGACACATCGAAAAATGTGCTGCAAGGAAATTGCCGCGCCGTCGGCCCGAATCGATACGAATCACTCACTCCCTTTCTCTTGTACAAAGGTATTTGATCCCGCTTTTGAACAAATTGCTTGTTTAAATTTGCTCACTTTATTAGAAATATAATTAATTAATTAAATATAAATTTAGCCACTGCACTTCAGAATCCGCTGATCATGGATCCGAAACCGAAAGAGGGACACGATGAGCCCCAGTTGTCGCCCTTTGAAGCTTCGAAAAAGACAATGTTGCATGAATTGGGTCTCCTCGAGAGCTGCTATAAGGTGGGCTATTATATTTGTATAGCACGTATAGCAAAACAGGGGGATTCTTCCCTCGTTGTTTTTATTTTTATCTGGTTTTCTCAGGCATCCTGTCACTTAGAGTTTTCTAGCCTACCACGTTATATAGTTTTCGGCTCTCCGCACCTCTACTAAAAAATGGCAGCTTGATCGGCAATAAGGCGGCCAAATGTTGAGGGCTTTTATAAGACGCCCTCTGTGGCTGAGTTGTTCATGCTTTCCGCTTATCGGGGGTATTTTCGATAGCTATCAAGTACTCCAAAATGTTTCGCTTGCTCTGGCGAGTATTATGGTATACTGTACAACCCGGTAGCTAAAGGGAGCCGGGATACAGTAGGTGGAATTATGCTTGGGGGGGGTAAGCTGCACTCAAGCCGGAATGAAAATGAAGCGCTAAACATGTCGCGTTTAGATCGAGAAAACGAACAACCCAGGGCGCGCGGACAGGGTCTTTGTCGAGGAGCTGAAGGAAAAGTGCGTGCACAGGTGCAGGGAAAATTGGCATGCGAATGGATTGAGTGAGGCAGAACGGGAGATGCTGGAACGCACGCTCGAAAAGGAAATTGCGGCGCTGGAGCAACGAGTTGCTGGGGGCGACCAGGACGCTGACGATGACGACTACCGGGCTCTTCGGGAAGCGCAAGAAGGCTTTAAAGCCAAGATGCTTGATGGCCTATTCGGGTGGTCTCTCGGTCGTGAAGCTGATGTATTGTCATTTTTGGTCAGTTGTGCGCGTTGCCCAGAAGGGTAAATTTGGAGTGGACATTGCCTTAATAGCTTGCTTTTCGGGTGTGGTGCGTGGTGCTTTCCGGTTAACGGCGAGGGGAAATTTTGCAAGGGCCGTAGCCGAGTTCAGCTTGTTTAGCCTAGATCTGCCTGGGGTTTTCCTTTATTTTTCATTATCTTGAATGATGACGTGTTATAACAATAACACCGATCTCACCGGTAAGAGTGCAGTTTACCTCCCCCAGCTGGCGCCCGATTTTGTATCTCCGCTCCCTGTAGGTCTACAGGTACGTAAGGTACACCAAAATGTTCGTCTTGTTCCCGCGAGTATTTTAGTATACTTGACAGCCCGGTAGGCCAACAGGGAGTCGAGATACAGCAGGTAGGCTAGGCCGGGAGGATAAACTGTAATCAAGCCGTTACGGAAATCAAGCGCCAAAATATGTTTTTAGATCGAGAAAGCGAAACACCCCGAGCGCGTCGACCGGGCCTTTGTCGAGCAGTTGAAGGAGAAGTGCGTGCATCGATGCAAGGAAGATTGGCATGAGAATGGATTGAGCGCGGAATGTCGAGATGTGCTGGAGCAACAGCTTAACGAGAAACTGGCGGAGCTGGAAAAACGCTTTGCTGAGACGGATCGGGCAGCTGCAGAGAGCAACGCGCCCCGAACTCTTCAGCCGGATCAGGCATTTCACCCGCCAGGCACCTTCACCGAGCATTGGGCAGGATTGTCCGTCTTCAACGACGAGGAGGATCACGGGCGATTATCCTGGGTCAGTTTTGATGTTTTTGAATGACATTAGGGTGATTTTCTTACGCATGCAGAAATCGTTGTTTAGCGTCGACGACGTAGCTCCGACGCAGACATCTATTAATCTGTGATCCGCCACCACGCCACCCGAGTACCATCGTCTACCCGATTTAAAACCCACTATAAAATAACGTGGACTTCTGGAGCTGATGTATTTTTTCGATGCTCCAAATAAAGATTTCTACTTCAGAACCCGCAAATCTTTGTTGTATGGGTGTTTGCGTCCCAAATTTGGCTTTTATATTGAAAGCTCTGATACTGTCCTCGGGAGCTTGTCAGTGCTGTGGACAACGACATGTGAAAAGAGTGCGGAGGGAGCGGAGTGACCAGAACAGCTCTGTCTGGGCTCTCCGCTCACTCTGCACTCTTTTCACGTGTCGCTGAAATGTCGTTCAATCGCTTTCGCTTACGATCGGTATTTCAGACCATTTTGTACTCGTTAGCCAACAATTATTGTAATAATTGTTTAAAATTAAAGTGTAAAATAATAATTTTAAGAATTGATTTTGTTAATTTACATTATAATTTATTGACTGTGCTCTTAAAGCGTCACTGGTGTTCAGGAAGTCCCGTTGACGATGGCTCCGAAACCGGGAGAAGGGCACGACGAACCCGGAATTTCGGGAACTGAGGCTTCAGAAAAGACGATGTCGTATGAAATGGGTCTCTTAGAGCAATGCTATAAGGTTGGTGATAAAAGATATTTTACCCGGATTAGGGTTAGGCTTAGAATTATGCTTAGGAGTGGTTTAGAGCTTTTAGGCTTAGGCCGAAGTTAGGCGTACACTCAAGGCTTAAGCATAAGCCCAAACCTAACCTAAGCCTAAGCCTAGGCTTAAGTCTAAGCCTAAGCCCAAATCTGGGCTAAGCCTACGCCTAAGCCTAAGCTTTCAGATCGAGCGTACGAACAACCGCCAACCGACCGGCAGCCGACAACCAAACGACAGCCGAAAACCGACCGACCGCGCGGACTTCCTCGAGGAGTTGAAGCAGAAGTGCGTGCACAGATGCAGGGAAAATTGGCATGAGAACGGATTGAGTGAGGCAGAATGCGAGACGCTGGAGCGCAAACTCGAGAAGGAAATTGTGGAGTTGGAGAAACGGGTTGCTGAAGTAAGCAAGGTTGAGGCGAGCCAAACCACTGCTGAAGAAGACTACCGGACGCTTCTGGAGGCGCAAGCACGCTTTAAAGCCAAGATGCTTGATGGTCTATTCGGGTGCACTCGCCAAGAAGACCAGCGTGGATTCTTGGTCAGTTTTGCCTTGCCTACAGCAGGTTAAATTTTAAATAACTAGCTTGTCGGGCTTTAGAGCGTCACCGCACCGTTAGCAAAACAGGTACTGTTCGACTTGCCCGGGCGCAGGAATATACCGCAGGCGGTTATCGATATTTTCGCTATTTTTTCAACATTCGATATATGCCATTCGATATAACATCGAAAAATATGCGACGATTCTAATTACAGCCCAAAATAAGATAATACAAAAACGTTACACCAAAAACAAAATTTTCCTACGAAAATGGGGTTGAAACACAGTTTTCGATATTTTCGCCATTTTTCCGACATTTCGAAGACGCCATTCGACAGTGCGCCAAAAAATATAACGAGAGCTTAAATTTCAGCCCGGAACAATGCAAAATAATAAAGGTTATGGCAAAAATGTACATCAATACAATTTTAACAAAAATTGCAAATCTTGTTTAGCGCATCTACTCCGGGCTTCTCGGCAATCATACAAGCAACAACTCCTTTATCCTTGATGCTCCATCACGTTCGATTATTTGAACTAAAAGTAACCCACAATCACTGGAGTTTTATAGTCTTTCACCTGTCTGTATTGGATTTATGTGACTGTATCTACAATAAAAGTTTTGAAAATCATCGTTGAATCAAATCCAAGCAAATAATCACAAAATCCATAATTTACCAGTGTTTTAGCCCACAGAAAACTGCTCAAAGTTTGCTGTGTAGGGTTCTGGTTTTCGAATTTGCTCTTTCAATTTAAACCAAAACATCTATTTCTTAGCTTCACCCCCACCAACAACTTCCAACCCTAAAAATCGATCCAATTTATTGCAGAAGATATTTCCTGTCCCTGAATCGATCTGCAAAAACGGAGATGACCAAATTTTGCTGCAAGAAAATGGCCGCGAATGCGGGCGAGATAAAGAACGAGGGCTTGTTTACTGCGCCCCCAAAAAGCTTTCCCTTTTTACTCTCATACAAAAACTATATAAATTTCCTTAAAATGCGATTTTACTTGGGTTTTATAAGCGCCTAATCAACTAAATAGCAGCCGCAGAATTTGATAAAATCTACTCCATGTTGCTCGCATAAATTCGTGATTTTTTGATAATCCCTTGCACAAGAAATATACCTAATCAAATACATCTGTATTTTCGTGTTTTAAAAGGATAGTTCAGCCTTGGAGCTTGAGCAGTACTTTGGTTGACTATCGAGGCAGGGGGGTCTACTGGCCTGTGTCGCCCCACCATAGTCGCCCAAGGGAATGCCCAAGCTCCAAGGCTGAACTATCCCTTTAAAAGACATTACAGATTTCATTAAGCAAATGTCGGAGGAAGGCGGAACAGAGGTAGTAGTAAACTAAAAAGATCACAGCCTCATTAGGTTCCTTGGGATTTATTGGTGTCGTTCGAGGGCAACGCGGTGCAATTCCATGCGGACGTCTTGAAATGGAGTTTGTTGGCGCCTCAATATGCTAATCGAAAGGTAATCTCGAAGAGGAAATTTGAAACTTTTCCACGATCACGAGAAAATATACGTTTTTCGTGCGGAGTGTATCGCTTGAAAAACGCTAACTTTCCAGATAACCGTCGTCAGTATCATGGGGCCATCGCGAAGCGGCAAAAGTTTCTTGCTGTCATTTTTTACGAGAGCACAGGATAACGTTATTAGGTTTGGTAGTATAGAAAGTATACCTTCTCAAATTCTTCAGCGGCAACTTCCAAACCGGCTACTCCCGTTGCACGCAAGGGATTCTGATCCGGCGCGCACCTGTCGAAGTCAATGGCGTAAGTTTTTCAAACCACAAATACTAAGATTTTGCCGCTAACCATATCAGCCAGTCACGTTCAAATTATTATACATATTTCACCATTTTAGTGTCTGATATTCTACCTCGACACCCAAGGTACATTCGATCTGGAGACCGAGCGAAACGTCTCAGCCTGGATCGGTGTTTTTAGTCTGCTTTTGGCTGATATTCAGGTAGTAGAAAATCGAACCTACGTAATCATATTTCAAATTCAGATCCTGAACCTTCGCGGGAACGTTGAAGCCGATAAGCTACAAGATTTACACCTGTTTACCGAGATTGCGAAAGCGTTTGAGGGGGCTGTATTTCCAAAGGTTTGTCTTATCGAAATTTCTGAGATAGAGCCCTGGCAGATAGAGAGAGAGAGAGAGAGAGAGAGAGAGAGAGCAATTTATCAAAAATCCGATTTCAGAAATTCCTCTTCCTCATTCGCGACTCGCCGTACCCAGATCAGGACACCGAATTTTTGCAGAATCTCTTCGTTAGTTGCCCTACTTTTCCATGAAAGGCCAAATCTAGGCTCAATGCGAGCTAGCTTCCGACCTGAAACAAATCTCAGCTGCTCTGCACGAGAAATTCGGAAACGAAATGTACTGTGTCTGCGCTCCGATGGCGAATCAGCATTTACGAGTAGCTAGCGGTAGTCTGGTATTGCAACGTGAAGGCGAGTTTCAAACGTCCTTGGAGATCAAAATATCAGGGCTACGTATTTCCAGCCTGTTTTTAGATCAATCCTTCATTAAAAAATTGGCCAAAGTCCAGAGCTATATCGAAACATGGTCCCAAGATATCTATGCGACAAAGGATTATCTTGGCCTGGGAATGGTAAGTTAATCGAATGAAATAAAATTTCTCGTTTAGAAAGTCGCTGATTTTCTGAACAACAACGCCCCGCAAATTGGAGCCTCGACCGTTCAGGTATGAAAAAGCTTAAATTCAAGCGTCTCATTTTAAAGGTCATACGAGAGGCCAGCATCCTTTTTGCCGTCAACAAAACGCTCGAAGTTTTTGTTCAGAAAATTAAGGTATCAGCCTCGCGAAGTATAAGTTCTTTTGGCAGAACACGACGTACGAAGCCTTTCATCACGACTGTGGAACTGCCGAAAAAGAAGGGCTCGAAAAGGTTCATAAAATGGTGAAGGCCTCGGATTTCGAGGAAGCCGCCGCGTTATTCAGGGAAAAGTCGAAGGTATGAAAAGGGAAACTAGTTAAGAGCGTTTGAGAACTCGTAGCCAAATTTAGGAGATAGCAACGGGGAAGTTTTACGAACTAAAAGCTGCCGAAGACGAACGTCTAGGGCAACAAATATCAGGCCAATTCCTATCGTCAGAAATGGAGAAGATCACATCGGTAGGAAAAGGGGGCTAAAGAAACACTAAAAGCAGAAATGGGAAAATGAGGCTTTCCAGATTACGGATGTGTATACCCTACTCGATATGACTCGTCAAAATGCTGCCGCAAGAATCCCATTAAACCTAGAAATTTCCGAAATTCAGAAACATGAATTGGCTCAAAAAATCCATGTAAGAAGATTGATGAGTCCCTACAGTAAAACCAATTGCTTCAGAACTTCATTGTCGCGCGCTACGAGCAAATGCGGAATTTACAATTGAATTTTGTTGTGGCCAACGCGGATCGAGATATGCGGATCGAGATGGAAAAGGTTTGCGATAAAAAGAACGCAAGGGATAACTAGGGAATAGGAAGTATTGTGCGGAGTGGAAATACAACCGGCCGCGGCAAATGCTCAACGTCACGCCACTTCTAACTTGCAAAACGCCTTGGAACAATTGGGCTTTGAGCCGGGGACGGTGGTGAAGATACGAGAGAAAACAGCAGAACACCTGGAGGTCGGCATTTATTATCTTGCAAAGATCAAAAACGGAATTTTAGAATACAGCCCAATCGCTTGCGGAACGATTTGTAGCGGACCGGGAGAGCAAATCAAAATTGGAAAAACTGCAGGCTGACTACCAAGCGCATACCAAGGTATGAGGATTTATTTAATTTGTTCGGTAAGTCGACCGGTCCGGCCCGGTTTCTTCGCTCAAAACTTTCTAGTTCGCATACTAACAGGAAAGGTTTGCTTTCAGCGCGAAATCGCATTGGCAATGGAAGCGGGACAACGACCAGATGAAGAAAGTGATGTAGAATCGGATATCACGGAAATTGAACGCTACGAAGACCTATTGGAGGATCCGCAAACTCAATACCACCCGGACATTTCGGCGTTGCCGTCGCAGGCTTGGCATGTCCAGCCAAGCCCGCCTAGCGCCTATGCGCCGCCATCGAACCCGGAGCCGCAAGGGTCGCGGCAGAAGACTACTCCGATCAATAATTATGGGACCCTTGGCCCTGCCATTGAGAACAGCATTCCACAAAAACACGATTTTCTAAGCAGAGCGCAAGAATTAGAAGAGGCCAGGCGTCACAGCATTGACCCGCTCCAGGCTGGGAGAGATGAGATGTGGAGAGAACTGGCGATTCTAAAGCATTGCTATGAGGTAGCTCCATGAACCGCGTAGCCAAGATTGCTTTTTTAGAAGGGAGACGTGCGAGACGAGGCGACGGCAAAATACTTGAGTGACCAGTGCCTTAAACGATGTAACGCTTTCTGGAACTTGAAGGGATACGAGGGCATGGATCTGCTAGCGCTTGAGGGTGAACTGGAGGCCGCCATCGTACGCTTGGAGCAACGACCGGCGGCAAATGTCGCTGCGACCAGAAGGTGAGCCAAACCCCGACGGATTTTTGCATCGTTTTAGCTCCTACAACCGGTCCTCAATCATTGCAACAGTGCTCGCGATGCTGGTGAGTTTCTGGGGGGTTCGAGCGCTGAAAAAGTGGTCGCTTCGGATGATACCGTCCAAAATTCGTCTCTGGTTGCAATGGCTTTGAAAATGTCGGTTATAATCCCTTTTTCAGGCCGCTGTATTTTGTTGTGGCCGTACAGTGCGTGTTTAGGCGTGGGTTTACGCGTTTGTTTCCTACCGAACTCCCGGGGATACGACCACAGAAATTCAATTTGAATCTCGCAATAATCCGAGCGCTCCCGAACAAACGACGATTATTGACCTGACCAAAGCTGGTGGCGGAATTTGATGGTCTGATTTGCTTTGTAATGGCAGCAATAAACACTATGCCCGGGAACAATTTTACTAAATAGAAATAAAAATGCAGCGCTAATTTCAATGAGGGGCCAAGCCAATAACCACTGGATCACAATTTTGGCCGAAATTTACAAGAGAGTGAGAGAGATTATTTGATCTTTTTATTGTCTGTCTGTATTGACACTTATTGATTGAAATCCGGTACTGACAAATAAATAATTTATGTTGTTAAAAATTATCATCCTTTAGCAAATTTTAATGAACAAAAACGTTCTCGACAGACGCGTTTTATTATAAAAAAAAAAAAAAAAAAAAAAAAAAAAAAATCAAACAAAATAAAAAAAAAAGCAAAAAAAGAACACAACAAAAACAATACACACAATAAAAACCAAAAAAAAAAAAAAAAAAAAAAAAAAAAAAAAAAAAAAAAAATAATAAAAATTTAAAAAAAAAAAAAGGAAGATTAGGGATTTTTTACCCCCAAACCCCACAAAAACAAAAAAACCAAAAAAAAAAAAAAACCAAAAAAAAAAAAAACTTACCTTTTTGCCCAAAAAAAAAAAAAAAAAAAAAAAAAAAAAAAAAAAAAAAAAAAAAAACCATAAACAATTCCCAACCCCCCCCAACCCCAAAAAAAAAACAAAAAAAAAAAAACACCACAAAATAAAAAAAAAAACAAAAACAAACAAAACCCCCCCCCCCACCAAAACCACACAAAAAAAAAAAAATTTCTTTATGATTTTGTTTAAGCAAATAATGAATTAAAATAATCAAAAAGTACTAAAATAACTCAAAAAAGGTATCTTGGCGCGGGAAGGGGCCTGGTGAAGGGGGGTGGGAAAGGGGGCGTGGCCTGCCGGGAGAGGGGCCCCCACTCGTTTTATTAAGGCGCCACTTTCAAAGTTAATTTTAATAATTTAAACGAAAAATTTTTAACCCATAATATTTTCATCATTTTAGGGGTTTCTGACCATGCTCTATCCGAATCCGAAGAGACCTTAGCTCTACCTCTTTTCCCCTTCGAGTTATAGTTGGCTTCCGACAAACAGAGAGATGGACGGACGGACGGACACCACTGCAAAATTATTATAGTTGATTATTGTTCGCTTGAAGAATTCCTAGTTTCTTGAAATTCGGATATTCCCTACCTGTGCTGCTGGCGTAGGGAAGCGGTGACGTAGCTCGTTCTACACAAAAGTCTACCCAAGAAAATTCCAGCAAACCGGTACATTTGCGGGCGTGGAGGTTCTCGTTTGTCCGTCAGCCGCAGGAAAAGAGTGACGGCTTGAAGCAGTCGACGGTCTGGAAAAACCGTTCAAATAATATTTGGCGAGGCTTGTTTGAGCCCAGGGAAAAATGTTACGGAAAAAGACGGGCCCAAAGGCCGAAAATAGTCAGATTGAAGGATAAAAATTACGATACCGAGACGGTTGTGGTGTTAGCGGCAGATCGTTCACCGGAACCTGCATACCCGGGTATATGGCGTCCTGAAAGTTAGGAGCCGTAAGTAAGAAAGAAAACCCTACACTGCCATGCTCCGAGGGGTTCGATGCGACGCGCGACTGAATTGGAGGTTGCGGTCCGACAATGCCTTGCTGGAAATATTTTTTCGAATAAGCCATATCAGTCACATCTTCTGTTTGATACAAATGGCCATACCTGTACCAGTGAGCGCGTCACATTGTTAATAAGCAGCCGGTATGCGGGATCATGCTGGAACTTGAATATATGACCCAATTCCAATTTTTCTACCTCACTAATGCCTGACGTAATACTCGGTGTAAGCGTAGATTCCGGCCCGCTGATAGATACAAGTAATATTTCGCATTTCTGAAAAATCCTACCTGCCGATCGAGCTCCGGTCGGGGATCCAGTTCTCCGGATGATCTAGTTCGGGGCTGAATGGATTCTAAAGAAAGAAGTAAAGGGGTTCACACCAAAGCAACAACAAAAACAACTCACCAGCGACCGCTGCGCTGCTGGCATCTGGGCCATCCTTAATGAAATTTGACAAATTACGGCAAGCGATATCAGTAAACCCAGAAAAAATAGAGACCTGGGGACACTATCCACTATCAGGGATGGAAAGGAAAACGAAAAACGAATTTATTGACATGAATAAGCATCATCGGCTTGGAAAACAAGTAAATGTTAGCGATCAAGCCGTTGCGGGAAAATAGCCATGTCGCAGGACAATAGGTGGGTTTACATAATCGAGCAAGAGCTGCCAGTCTTCTTTTGCTGGCCCTGTGCAAGGCGCTGAAGTTCAGCCTGGCGCACACGTTCAGCAGCCTCCTGGCGCACCTGAAAAGTTTTCTGGCTAGGCGAAGCAGGAAGAGTGTAGCATACCCGCTCGTCCTCACGTCGCTGCCTTTCGTCCTCACGGCGCTGCTCATCACGAATTTGTTCTTGGCGGGCGCGGTCTTCGCGTTCCTGCAATTCGCGTATGGGTCGGAAAAATTCCATACCATCCTCATCATTTCCATTTCCATGCGTCGCTGTTGGGCTCGGTCCTCCTCCCGGCGAGCCTCCAGGGCTTCCCGAGCTTCTCGATCCTGCTTCGCGCGCTCGTCTTGTCTAAAGAGAAATTCTGAAAGTTAGTAACCGTAAAAAAGAAACTCACCGCCTGGCTGCCTCATTCATCTGCTGGATCATCATCATCATTGGGTCGACACCGGACGCCTGTTTTTGCTGCTCTAAAAACGTCAAAAATTTATAAAGTTAAACGTTTAATGACGTACCAAGTTTCTTCTCAAGCTCCTTATTAGCCTGCTTTTGCTGGAACATCTGCTGCCCAAATTCCTTCTTCCATTGTTGCTGCTTCTTCTTGCTTTCGGAGAGCTTCTGGTGGATGCCTTGGAGTTTCAGGTTAGTGCTGGCGTGGTGAGCGAAGTCATCCTCGCATTTCTGGAATCCCAGTTACAAATTGCTATAGAAAACGTACTTTGAAGCGATAGTTGATGCTTTCGCGGTAGTTGTCCAGCATCTGTTCGAGAAGCTCGACCTTGATGTTTTTGAGGGACGCTCGGACCTCAGTAACGAATTGCGACTGTAAATTTGTCATATAAAACAATTAAAATCAAGCCAAGTCAGATTGACGCAAACCATTATTAAAACTTACTTTCTTCACGTTATAAGCATTACTGCAATACGAACGAGTCGCTTCTAGGATGTTCTCGACTTGAACCGAGGTTTGCACTTCAGTAAGTTTCTAGGAATTTCTTTGAGGGGACCGCAAAGATCTTGCTACCTCTTTGAGACGCGTTTCATAATCCTGAAGAAGTTCTTCGAAGAATTGGTGCCCAGCATCCTGAGCCTTCATGATGGCGTTTTCATTTTGGATGTCGTCGAAACGGGCCTAAAACCTTATAGTTGAGGTATCTGGCTAACTACCGTAATCATATCGTGCAGAAGCTGGCGCTTGTAGCCAAGCAGCTCCACCTCGTCGGCGAATTCGACGACGGCTGGAAATTAAACTCGTATTTTTGATCGATTATTCCTACTCTTGTCAAAGTGGTCCAGCGCTTTCGAGAAGGCCGCTTCGTGCTTCCGCTCGGCGTCTTGGCCCTTCTTGCCGGAGGCGAGGATTTCTTCGATGCTCGGCTAAAAGTAAGACTTATCAAAAGCGAGAGAGAGAGAGGGAGAGAGAGCGATACAGAAAGATAGCTATTCTCCTACCTTCATCTCCGTCTCATAAATGCCCATCCCTCCATTGACGGCCTCCGCAATCAGCATATCGCGGTATCGATCCTTGTTGCTGATCGATTTCTCCTTGCAGCGTTCCTAAAAATCAAAAGTATCGGCTGAAACTTTAACCCTTACCTGCAACGATCGCTTGAACTGGTCGAATTCCCGGACCTTGTCGGCCTGGCTGCCAAAGAGCGGGCAATTACGGTATGCCTAAACCTCGTTAGAGCCTGGAGCGTTACGTAAAACTTACTTGAATTGCCTCTTCGATGAGCTCCTCCAGCTTAGCGTCGTATTCCTTAGGAGACAAGGCACGATGGCCGTTCTGGCGAGCGTACTGAAAATTGCAAATAAGGTGTTGAGACTAAGGACCGGCTTACCCTATCGTAGGCATCAGAGAAAGTTTCATTTCCGGCACTGCGGGCACGCTCGAAGTAGAGGCTTGACGTTGCCTGAAATTTCGGGTTAGGATCAGGATTAGACATAGGCGTCGTATTAGAAAATTTTGAACGATAGAACTCACGGTGAAGGCCGATCCGATGGCTCGGTGATGGCCGTCCTTGATGTGGAGTGACCAGGTTCTAAATGGAAATAATGATGTATTCACGGAAAAGCTCCTACTTACCTCAACATGTTCTTTCAATGTCCCGCCTGTCAATGCAGTCCCAAGCACCGTCTTTGGCTGTAGGTTATCGAGGATGTAGTCAGCGCATGCGCAAAGGGAATCAAGGAAGTTCTCGCCGCAATCTGAAAGCAACCTTGGCCTAGACTTCTGAACGGCGTTACAGCAAGCGCGCTACATGTTAGTGGACGCCACAATCAATTGCTTACCTCCAGCCCTGATCTCCCCGCTGGCCTGGCGAACATGTTCCGAGGGTGTCGGAATCTTGTAGCAGTCCACTTTTTCGAAAGCACTCAGAACTCCGTTTAAAAGCTGATGTAGCTGGGGGGCGCGTCGAGTTTGTTGCTGGAACGTTACAGTTTTTGGCAGCGAAGTGAGCAGCCAACCTTTAGCAATTCCAGGTAATCCGGGCTCAAGCCCGCCTCGTTCGAGTCGCGCATCATGATCAGGAAGTGCTAGAAATTCAGAATGCTAGATTGACCAAAAGTCGTACCTGGCCGATCTGTTCATCACTCTTCTGACTGAACGATATGAAGCAGTTCAGCGCATCAAGGTCCTGGGCGTCGATCTGGTTCTTGGTGTTGAAGACCTTGAAATGGAGGTTAGGTGGGTGAGAGGTCGGAGCCTACGTTCAAAGACGACATCAGCAAGGAGATGGCGAAGATGACGGTAGAGTCCCCAATGTCGCTGCAGTTATCGAAGGTACCTTGTGTGTCGAGAAGCATGACAGCGAGCTGGAAAGCATAAGTGATTTTTTTATATAAGCTTATGCGATTACCTCAGTACCGTCAGCCTCTTTGCGGATGAAGATTTCAGGCCAAACCATGATGCCTTGTGTGTGACGGACATAGCCACTGCGGAAGCGGATACCATCACGGCCACTAAAAAAAGTTGTGCGTAGGCGACGGCTTAGGTCAATCGACTTACCCAATATATTCCAAGTCCTCAAATCGAGCCCTGCCCCGCTGAAGAGCTCGGAGCAAGACATTGTTCCAGAAGGTTTTGCCTTGACGGAACTTTCCTGCTGTTGATATAACTGCTACCTAAAAGGATACATGAATTTTTGGGGAACTCGTCTAATCCTTGCCTTCCGGTTTCCAATCTGCCTGCAAAGATTCTCAAGGAGCTGCTGGTTGAACTGCGTCTCGCCCTCCTCGGTGATGTTGAAGAGCTGCTGGAGGTCGACCTCGCCCTTCAAAATCAAACCTATTCACCGTTTAATTGTTCACAAACCGCTTCCGGGGTATCCGGGTTGTAATCAGAGCTCGAACCTCCAGGCCCGGTCGTCACTGGAGGTAGATCGTAGATTGGTGCAGGGATGGAATCGACGAACGCTTGGGTGCGCGAAGCCGAGCCACCGTACTGGCTGGGTGGCTGTACAACCGGGGGTGCATAGCTGCTTAGCGGGGGCTCGTTGGCGGCTTCATCAGAGTCCGGGGCCATTGGGGAGCCCGTGCGGACATCCGAAGCTCCGCCATCACCGATCCGGACCTCGCGGAAGCCGTCGGCTACCGTGTCCACGCCGCTGGCTGGGGAGGGAAGTTCGAGGCGGATCTTAATGTTTTAATGTAGGAAAATACGTTAGGGTTTTGGACTTTTATTTTTTGAATTATAGCCTTGAGTATGACTTTTATACTTCGGTTTCCATTGAAGCTAAAGGGCTGTAAGTAGAGTTGGAAAACCCCCCCGAGACATACCCCCGGGGGTATTTGAAAATCCCCCGCCGCAAACTTGGGTAGTTGAACCAAAATCCGGGTTCTCGAAAGTTCCCTTGGTTCGGCTGGCGGGGGGTTTTCGAAGTCTAGCTGTAAGGTAGACCAAAATGTTCGCGTTTGCCAGTTCGCCCTGTTAATCTTTTATTTTTTTGAGCAAAATTATACCACTTTTTATATTGTTTTATTAAACTTAACAAAAGGCTTTTAACTTGACAATGTTGTCAATTTTGGCAGAGCCATCATGGTACGGTACTTACTCTTTTTTTTTTGCAAGTCGGCCTATGTTGTGTATCCTCTCTCCTATTCACCAAATTTCATCATCATTGCCCTACCGTACCCCCGTTATACTGTCGTATTACTCGCCGCGGCACCCTAGGCTCGCCCAGGACAAAGGCTTTTTTCAGATAAGAGACACGAACCGGTCCGTATCCCCCAATTGCCCAGAAATTTTTTGCACAAGACAATGCGTCGGGCCCGGTCACCTGACCACGGTTTTCTTGCGCCAGAAAATTATTCTAAAAAATGTACGACCTTATTGATTCTAACTCCCCCCCCCCCCCCCCCCCCCCCCCCCCCCCCCCCCCCCCCCCCCCCCCCCCAACCCCCCACAAACCCCCCCCCCCACCCCCCCCCCCCCCCCCCCCCCCCCCCCCCCTTAATAACCCCCCTAACTATCTTTTTCTTTTTCCCCCCCCCCCCCCCCCCCCCAAAAAAAAAAAAAAAAAAAAAAAAAAAAAAAAAAAAAAAAAAAAAAAAAAAAAAACCCAAAAAACCCCCCCCCCCCCCCCCCCCCCCCCCCCCCCCCCCCCCCCCCCCCCCCCCCCCCCCCCCCCCCCCCCCCCCCCCCTTTTTTTTTAAAAAAAAATTTTTTTTTTTTTTTTTTTTTTTTTTTTTTTTTTTTTTTTTTTTTTTTTTTTTTTTTTGTTTTTGTCCCCCCCCCCCCCCCCCCCCAAAAACCCCCCCCCCCCCCCCTCCCCCCCCCCCCTTCCACCAATTTTAAGGTGATCGATACAGTACCGTAACCTACTGAATTTTTTCACACCGGGCGGGGCCGCCGCCGCCGCGTCCCCCCCCCCCCCCCAAAAAAAATAAAAATCAAAAGGGGGAAAAAAGGCCCCCCGGGGGGGAAAGCAAAAACATTTTTTTTCCCGCGCGAACCCATTTGACCACGCCGTCGGCATCCCACTTAAGTTTAAAGCATAGCAAATTACCGATCCATCGAGCAGACCGCTGATGCGGAGGGCGGCACGGTTCTGATCTGGTAGGCGCATACAGTCCTCGAGAAGTGCCTACAGAAAAAATGATAAAATGATCACTGTATTTTCTGGATTACGGTAGCCATTGTCACAATTTTTAGATGAATGGACAAATGGATAGGATTTAATTTACATCCAGGTAACGCCAAATTAAATTAACCCCCACCTGGCGAGCCGTCTCCTCGCAAGAAGCCTTCATCTCCGCACTACCGTCCGGGTAGTTCTCCAACCACTAAAATGTGCTTAACTTTAGGATACACTACAGTACACCCTACCTGAACTTTCTGTAGGTAGTCATGGAAAAACTGGTCGACCTTTCGGTCCTAAATTCAAAATTAGTAAAGCTTAGAAAGGTGCTGTTACCGTAAAATCGGCCTCCCTGGCTTCCAGCCCCGAGCTGGTGCTCATTTTTGCTTCTAAGTAGCTCTAAAATTGGTGGTTTGTATACGGTAACTATATTAAAGAGAAAAGAGAAAAAGGGCAGAAGGTGGATGTAAAAAATTCGAAGATTGAAAGCAGGAAAAGTGCCGGGTCGCGCTTATCGTTCCCTCAAGGCCCTCCGATTTCTTCTGCAACAAAATGGCCGAAAATTCTTTGCCGCAAGAGATCGATTTGATTTTCGTAATCGTCTGTTGCACAATTAAACGAAGCCCTAAGAGGTATTAACTATAAGAAGTGGGAATTGAAATCGCACGACGTCCTGGAGCAACCAGGCATTATGGAAAAATGCGCATGCTTCTGGCTAAGAAGATATTTCATATGCTTGGCTTTGTCGTTTTTAAATTTCGAGTAATTCTCTAAATCTATTATTTCTTGAAATTATGAGTTTATATTTTAGTAGACGCTTGTGAAACATAGGGGAAAAAGTTCTTTAGAGCAAATTTCTCGAAGGCCGTTCTCGCTCAACAATTTTGAAAGCTGGGAGTTGTTTTAGTTCTGAATGTCAACTTTTATCGAATGAAGCTTTCTGACATTGAAAAACTCCAAAAGCACCTAAAAACGACACCGTGTAAGTTGCGAACGGGTCGATTCGCCATATCACTCGGCAGCGAGTTGGCGAAGCCATTTTCTTTAGCAAGAAATTGGAATCTCTTGTGGAAGCCAAAGCGCCCCGAGTTAATCAATACTTTCACGTGAAAAAATACTTTCTAAGGTGATTTCACACTTTCGGTAAGTCTCCTTCTTATACTGCAGCGCCTAGCGCATTAATGAGGTACAAAAGGAAGGCAATATAGAAGATTTGGAAAAGGTGAAATGACCGAAAGGTGAAAGGAAGACCATCGAACCCCGAAAATAAACGTAATTTCTTATGCTCTATCTAGGACACCAATTCTAAACCTAACGCTAACAGTGGGAAGTATGCTACGAAACTACAAAACTAATACAGTAATCTAAAAAATTACAATTTTCGACATACCGATGTGATGACTTAAATTAGCCTCCCTTTCCTTTAAAAATGCAAGAAGCCGCGCCGGATTCGTTAGACCTGCCCCGAATGAGCCTTTCTCCTATCTGTCCCCGGGTCTAACACCGTAAATTTTCTTCTGCAAGAAATTGGCAAAGCCTTGTGCAAGTCATAAAGTCGATTAGTTTTTCAGTGTTTTTTATTATAAGAGAAATTTAGAAGATGAACCTTGATTTCAAAGATACAGCATCGCTCGTTCCTCGATGCCTAGCTACCTGGCAGTTTAGGCGCTACGTTTAATGTCTTTCGCTGTCTAAATTTTTGTAATTATATTCTTTGTATTTTTGTATTTTTGTACGGCAGAAACTTTATTAAAGCTACATACACCGCATAAGAAAATTGATACATATTTTTTACAAACATTTGAAAGTGCCACGCTCTATGGGCTCTACGTTCAATTTAGGTATGGCTTTCAAGCGTCGCGTTCATGGACTCGGTTCCATCGAGGGATAGGGCGTCGCAGGGCCCGGATCTAAAGTCAATTTTTTCCGCAAGCGTAGCAGCACGTACCCTATCCATATCCGGATCCGGACGTGGTCGGAACCAGGGGTAGCGCTGCGGATCCAACTGCCGCT